TTGTCTAAGCACGGAGATGCAATACACTTTTTCAATCCAAGTTGTCTACAGACCTATCTAAACGAGAAACGCAGTTTAGTGAGTCTATAAAGCTGAGACGAATACTCTCTGAGTTTGAAAGCTTTTCTCTGTTAAATAATTCAGATTAGATAGAAAAGGTTTGTAGTGAACTAAACTGCTAAGTTCGTTTATACGCGAAATAAAAAGGACAAAACAAATACTAATATGTATGTATGTAGAAGGGTATTCAGTCCACATAAGTTAATATGCACATAAAATGCAGTTGTTTGAAAAGTTATAATAGTCCCAAAATACTCAAATGTAGTCATACAGTATGGTAGGGATGAAATATTCCTTTTCTTGGGTATACAGATGCTCACTACAAGTAAGAGATGCCAACGGCCGGAGGGCACTTACGGAGAGAAACGTAGATTGGAGGAAAGGACCCCAATGTTGATGTACTGATCAGTTACGAGGCAGAATTGGTTGGAAGATGTGAAAATAGAAAAGAAGTCTCGTCCGTACTGCGCGCGGAGCTCGGTAGTGTCCTTATTCATTCTCACGTAACAACCATGATTTTCTGTAAATTCATTATGCTTACTATTTTATGATGAACGTATAATCTGATATTTTCCGGCCACCACAGGTTTCCAAGTCAATTTTTTTAATCCGTTGAAAACACCTTATGGTGTATGATAGGGACAGGTGGTAACCGTTATAACCTCACAGTTAAATAACTATCGTCTAAAATGCATTAAAAAATTGAAGAAGATGACGAATGAACGAATTTGAAAAAAAATTAACAAGAAAAACGTTGACTTTACACTTATCAAGGACATCACAAAAACTTCAACTATGATGTAATAATTACAATGTCTAGGTGACACAGGATTGAATCTTCAGACAGACATTTGTTTCTTCGAGGTTGCAGATACACCTTACTGACAAATATCAGCAAACATGAAACTTAAATCCAAGACTTCCTTTTTATGGCCTGCAAAAATCTGAATCATATTTACCGCAGTTATTTAATGAGGGCTAGAAACTTTGTTATAGTTTTTAGTCTCAGTTTCAGTTTTAAAATTGTTTATTATTTCTCCTGTATGTGTATGGGTAGTTTGAATTTCAATGAGATTAAAGATACAATTTATCTGGTCCATATGAAAGCATTACTCAATTGAAATTGCAGTTAAAAGATTGGAAGAAAATCAGAAGCCTAAAATTATACATTAGCTTACCAACTAGATCTTGACCAGTAGAGAGAAATAAAGATAAATTACTAGTCATTGGCATATCGGTATGTGTCTACAAATTTAACTGCTCCTATTCTGCTAATTACATTGATCTAATTCGGAAGACTTTATACTTACATGCTTATGAACAAGTATTAGTTTGGTTGAGAAAAAGAACAAATATGGCAATAAGTGCTGCTCATTCCCTTCATTTGGTAGAAAGTAAGCACCAGACAGAAGCAGAAGCTGTTACCATAATAGGGGAATTGTTGATTGCATCAACCATATATATAGCTTAAACTATGCAAGTGAATCAAAGTAAACCCAATATTTGCGTTCATAAAAAGCATAAAAAGCATAAAAAGCGCACACCCGATATCTATGGTATGCCTGAATTTGGGCAACCGATATCCATGCTGAAAGTTCCATACTTGTACTGAAAATACGGTGTGGAATCAAGCTGTAAATAAAAAAAAAAAAATAAAATAAAATAAACTTATGTGATCAAACTGACCTACCTAGGCCAAGAACATCAAACATCTTTCCAGAAATGTCTAGAAACATGCATGATATTATCTATTTATACTCCTGACATCTTTTTGATATTAAACCACCTATGTTCCACCACAAGTGACTTTTCCTTCAATAGCTTAGTGAGTACTACTCAGAACCAAGAATACTGGATTCGAGTTTCAGTCAGGTTACCATTGATTAATGATGTGCAGATACATCCAACTAAATAGCCAGAGACCAGATGAAACACCTGTTCTGGATTACAATACTAACAACAGCCAGACAAATGACACTAACGATAATTGTGTTCATACTTATTCATAATTGACCTTTCTTTAAACTATATGAGAATTCAGTGCTTTTTCTGATTGCAAGAAATCAAGTGATTAAAATGAATGAACCCTGAAGACCATTTGTAGACGGCGATGGAATAACGTCTCCATTTTTGTGTGAAAAAGTGAATCGTAAGCATTTGAATCTAGCAGTTTGGAACGCTATTGCAGGGGTATTAATTGAGGTTTGAATAAACAACCAAAGTCAGACTTTAGGTAACCAGTATGAATCTCAGGGGACTCGAAAGGTGTTTTGTGTCACTTTGGAAATCCAGAGTAGTAAACAAAAAGACTCGAATTCATGACTGCCTAAATAACAGAAGTGTTTTGCCATTCAGGTACCTATAAATTCTAAACCCTGTTCACTTGCGACACAAAGATGCTGCCATCCAACACCACTAATGAGTATCAGTCCTCATGATTTCTCATCAGAGGTCTGTGAACTCCACCCAAAAGTGAGCAGCTAATGCAAAATGGACAAATTTTCAGTTGCTGATGTGTTCAAATGAAAACTTGTTCTCTTTATACCACACTGATTAACAGTCTTAAACTAGGACAAAGCAACTACGAAATGCTTCCTGGTTTTTAAAGAGATTTTTAGCAGTTATCGATTCGTTACAAAATTCTCCTTTAGGCTAACTGAATACGCCAAAACTATACATTTGGAAAAAAGAAAATTTAAAAATAAATAAAATTACTAAGCTTTCAAAATTATTAAGTACCTTATATAGACTCTGCTATGCAGTCGTTCAGTCGGTCCTTTATCGATGAACTAACAGGCATAACATTGAATTTGTGGTTTAAATTAGGTGAAAGCCTATATCAGACATTTCAAAAGCTTTTAAGATCATTTAAAATACGACTCTATGTTTGAATATCAAATATTCTTTCTTGAAAATTCGTCAAAAAGTCACTTTGTATTGAGAAAAACATACTGGAATAGTAAGTCATGAATATTAACATTTCAACCTGCTTTTAAGTGAAGAAGGTCGGCTAAAAAACGCCTTTCGTGTGCAATCTACACGAACTAGGAGATATGAATACGAGAACAAGTATTGAAGCTAAGTGGTTGATAGCAGTTAGTAGGTAGCCGTGGTCCTAGATTTCATGTTTGTTGGTATTTGTCAACAAGGAGCATGCGCAACCTCAAGGAAATGGGTGTGAAAATCGATATTCAAACTAACTCGACACATTGTTATGGTTATAGACGTTAATTGTAAGCTACTTGGTCAAAGGTTTGCCCTGTTGACCACTTCCAACAAACATAGAAACCAGATTCAAGATTGTCTAATGATTTGTCTCGACTATGTAACATCAATCTGAAGTGCATCACGACGATAAGTTTCTTGGTTTATTAATCACGTAGTAAATATGATTCATAGAACCTATTAAGTGCTAAGCCCTTGACAGTGTAAAATTGGTTATTTTCTGATAATTAGCTTACATGAGACTAGGAATTTCATCCTACTCAAACAATGTTATGACCTTGGAGTTTATTCAGTTATAATTAATATTTTCAAGTATTGGCTTTGTAGAGATTTGATTTATTGGTTATAGGATTTCATCATGAGCTGATAACGGTTAGAGAACCATTGGAAAACCTGAGAGTACTGAACAGCTGTTTCATTCTAGTTTGGGACTGTTCATCAATATGCACCCGCTGGGATTCATACCCAGGACCTCCTGGTTACAAGGCGAGCTAGCTTGTAGAACAATAAGCCATTGGGATGAGATCCAATGGCCGATGAATTCTAACTTCTGCCAACAACTTATCAACTTTACAATCGAATAGAAATATTAGTAATGGCTTCATTCCAAGAAGTACATTTGATGAGTTGTGGAATTCTCAGCATGTAGTACAATATTGCGTTTAACTTTCTCTTTGAACTACAGATTAGAGGGGAGAACCAGTTAACAGAGACATTTAAATCAATAATAGTATCAATAAAATATAAATACAAAATTAATTATTAGGTGGATTTCAGCAGTCTAGTTTACTTCACATTCCGTTGCAAATTTCTTGCATACAAATAAGATAGTAGTTGTCAACATTTCTATTGTCACATTCTTTTAAAATATATTTTAATTTTAAAATTTGTATTTTGTGACCAGTTTATAAATAATCTGAAGAATCACTAATTAACCACAAACTTCCCAATCTTTTTCTCTTCCTTTCTTCTCATCTCTTCAAATGACGACAATGAACAATCAACACCCAACTGATGACAAACAATACAATCTGCATTTTTTTTTTCTTGAAGGCTTTGGAATAGAAATAAATGGGACCAATCTGATTATAAGAGCTGAATCGCTATGGACGCAAGGGACTGCACAGTTCATAACTGTTCAAACGGATACAGGTTTAACATTCAATTCCACAGGCACTGGTGTTATTGAAATACCTCTTAGCACTTGTCCAAGCCAGTTAACATACATGATTTATGTTTTCATTGAGTTACCATTCCAAGTAACCGTAGATGCTCCCTTTGAAATAAGACGTAAGTTGCATTAGAAAGATATCCGTGGGTTTATGAAAACGGCAACAGATGTTTAGACACAAAAGTATACTTTTGTTTCAATTGCTTACAAATCTTTTCTTTTTTTCAAAAGTTACACATCCAATTAATAAGTTTATCACTGGCTAGTAAATCAATATAACATTAGCAGAAGTATTTTCAAAAATACTAATTAGTAAATGAATTCTAGAATGAGAAGTTCACTTGGTAAAATTGGAATTAGCGACATTACTGAAGTGGGCTTAGTGATAATTTCTTTTGTTAAAAAACTTAGAAATCACATCAACAAGACAAACTCATTAAATTATTACACGTGAAAAAAATTAAAACAAAAGTGGAAAGACTTCGTACATAAAGTGAGAATAAATATAATAATAGTGATCATTATATATAATAAAATTTTATTCATGAATAAAAAGACTAAACGAATTCAAAACAGCATAAGTAAGCAACTAATGTTCTTTTCATAACCTCATTGCAGAGCCGTAGAGTTATATATGTGATGTGAGTGAGATGACTGTCAGACCAAATAAGACTTTGGATGTCATGGCATTATTTCTGTCAGAGAACTTGAACAAAGCAAGAACAATAAACTGAACACGATAACCATGACATCCTTTCATTTCGTTGGTTCTTTTTTGGCTGTATACAACTTTAATATTAATTTCATACAATTATTTCCTATGATGAATCATATTTATTGACCATAAAGGTGAAAGATATTAACATCATTTGATTAAATAGCCTAATGAAAAAAAGAATAAAAGTTGTTGTTAGCCTCATTAAAGCAGATATAGAAATAATCACAAGAATATTCTAGTGATAGGAATGAATGTTGTGAATTAAACAGAAATGTGAAACTGACAAAACATTTACGTAAGGGTTAAATAATTTAGATGAATACAGTTCAGGAGTACAGATAAATACAAAGTTTCGTTTGTAGAATCACACTGTCATAACAAAATACAGACGAAAATACCAGCAGTTTTAATGATTTCTGTTATTTTCCCATATCTTACTACATTATGTTCAATGATGTTTTTTTTTAAAATTTAATGAACTGAAGTGAAAAAGCTGTTCTCAGGACGATTTCATCAAACAATGGTTGGGCTATTAATCCACCATTTTGTCGAGTGATATATGATATAAGGTTAATGACTAACTCCCTGTTTTGCTTCAACTAATGTAAATTGCTTTGGAGTGCCTTGTGAATAAGTGGTACAGGCTCGTATGACTGGTGGGATATTTGAATAAAAACACTGGGAAATTTGCCTTTCCTCATATCTCAAAATGGAATCACTTATAAAAGCAATTTTAAATTAAGAGCGTAGAATAACTCTTTCTTCGCAATATAGAACTTCTCAACAGATATTTATCAGAGTGCAAAAAAACGGTTCATCCCAAGGACAAGCATCCAGTCATCTGGATATTATCATGAGTGAATATAAGACAAACAGTTTATTGACAGATAACTGTTCGGGATAAACGTGAATTTTTAAAATTAAATACATAGCAAAGAAACTATCATATAAGCGTTAAACATTTGACTTTATTCTTTCACAATCTATCAATAAACACTTACAGCTGAATACATTCCAAATGCACAAAATTTAAGTTTACAATTATTACCAAATTCAAATAATCGAATAATTCGTTTAAATTGGACAGTGGACAAAAATAAGGAGATTTTATGTCCGTATAAAGTGTTTGCCTTCTTCGAAGATAATGGAAAACGATGCGAATTTCCAACAGAGATGAACTATTTTGAATTTGATACACTCGATTTAAATAAAATGTATAAAATTGGAGTTGTCGTTAAATCTGTACAGAATAGCAGTTTACGTAATGAAGTCTACATGGATTATTCAACATGTAAGTTGAGAGAATACACTTATTTGTGAAATACATTTCCTAAAATTAAAAGGTTTACTTTAACAAATGGATTCAAGACGTGTATATATATGCATAGGAGATAAATATTAAGGTGAGGGTTTCTAACTCAAGATGAAAAGAATCGCAACTGTCTGATATTTTATAGACTCCAATATAACACAATGTCGCGTTTTCCATCAGATAAACAGTTACTAACAGTTGGCTTTAAAGTATGTTTATGTGCTCATTTTTAAGCACTAGTAACTGCCTGTCTTGGGTATGAATGGAATAAAACAGGAGAACTTTCTAACTGGACAAGCCAGATAACTAACGAACTAAATTACCTGTACAAATTAATGGCGATAAAAAGTGACAATAACACAAGAGCAGAATTGTCGCTCGTTTGAGATGGAGACTATCAGTAGTGTGCCTTAGTTGATCTGTCTAAGACAGGTAAGTGGCATAGTGCGACATCATGTGTGATGACCCAGTATAGGTAATTAGATGATTTGAAAACCTATATACAAATTTTATTGCGTTTTCACACGCTCTAATTAACAGAACTGTATAATATTGATTTATTGAGATGAGTAGTGTTATACTACTTATTTCAACCAGTAGTGCTTCATAGCCATATCAAAGTGGTCTAATCACCCGACAGCCGTTTCGCTCGTTTAGGACGGAGGTCATTAAGGATGGACCCAGTTTGGCTCAGCTCAGAGAGCCGAATCAGTTCAAACAACACAATATCTTGCTAGCTGCTTCTGCTAGCTGGCAGTTCCATAAGTGAAGCCCACAATTAGCAAATTAATTTTCAGTTTACACAATTTGAAGTGATTATTTCACCACATTTTCTCATGAAAACCGAAATTATTCAGATCACGGTACGTGAACTGCTTCATACCATAAGTAATCAAGAAAGAGAGGATTATTGAGTAAAACGATATATATATATATTTTCCGAAACTCCAATTTGGAATTCGTATGGCATTCATCAGAATTCTACTAGTGTATGTATTTGTACGAACATCTACAGACGATTATCGTTTAAATAATGTTGGTCAAAACATCAGTTAAATCAAATTCTTTGGTCTCCTACCTCTTCAGTATTGCATACTTATTAAGGAATGCATTTGTTTAGTTATAAATTTATTACATAGCTATTTTCATTACTTTAGGTTCTGAGTAAAACATAAGGCTTAATAGTACATCTCCATTTTCACCTGTTCTCTGTAATACTTTCCAGTTTGCTCCACAATCACCGTAAGCTCTAATCTCCTCCTCACAAGATCTTCTTTGTGTCACTGTCGATCACCTAACTCGTCGTTTCTCATTCAGGTTCTACTCAAGAGCCTGGGCGATATCACCGAACGGTCTCCTCAGTGTGCGTGCAGTCCGTCTGTGTTTTCTTCAAGATATTTGTTGAGCAATAGGTTGTTGATTGGTTCGTTCCCACAGTTTCTTTTTGTTAATTCTTCATGACCAACCATCTGATCTTCAGTGCAGAGCTAGCGAAGGTAGCAGTTGATAAAAATATGAAGTAGTCTGTCAGAAATACTTTTTTGACGCCCTCGCCAAGTATCTGAACTAAATAGATGGACTGACTTAAAGTTGATGCTGAAAATCCGAATGTTTTTCCTGATGCTGAGTGCAGAAGATTTCCAAACTGACTTCCAAGTGTTGGAGGTCTGTCTCACCTTTCCGAGTATGGCTGGCTTTGACATTCTCATCCCTTCTGACTGGCTGCAGTTAAAACGATGCTGCCTAGATAAGTGAAGCAAGGAACTGATATCTTTCAAATTTCTTCCACTGACAGTGATCGGTGCTTGTTGTTGCTGTTAGTTGGTTGTCTTCATCGTCTCACCCTTCCCCATGTTCACCTGAAGTTCCGTCTTCGCTGCTTCTTCTGGTAGTTTGTTGACTTTCTCTTGTTAGTCTTCCAGTTTGCGTGACACTAGACACTGTGCGTTGGTGGCACAGTGGTTAGGACTCTCGCCGACCATGTACATGGTCCGGGGTTCGATCCCCTGCCGGCGCACACCCGATATCTATGGTCGGCCTGAAATTTGGGCTACCGATATCCACGCTGAAAATTCCATACTTGTACTGAAATACGGTGTGGCATCAAGCTGTAATCAAAATAAAAAATAAAATAAATAAATAATAAATCCTCTTCGAAATCGAGATCTTGAGTCTTACTGTCTCCTAGCTCCCCACATTCTGGAGTATAATCCAGTTGTTTAGGAGACAAATTAATAAGTGGTTAATAAACCTTTTTCAGAAAGACTTTGTTTCAATCTTTGAGTATTTTTTTGTTTCGATAATTCCCTTTCAGCTCATAGTTTGGTCTCAAATACTAAAAGACGGAGAAAAGTTACAAGCGTTTTCGTTACAGAAATAAGTGTGCATGAAATCTTAAGATACTTGAAAACAGATCTCCTAAGAACCTACTAAAATTGCTAATTTATAATAAAAGAATAATAGAAAGATTTTGACGTCCAACGGGCTATGGTACTCGATAGTGGAAGTTTCATCTCCTCAGTTGGCTGGCATCTTCAACACTAACCTCACTTCATAACATAGAGAAGATCAAACTATTCTCATCTTCAATTTAAGCAGTGTATCTTCCATATTATTTTCAAGTTGAGGGATAAAATCTAAGAGTTAAGATTCATTTCGTGATTGCAAAATAAATGAAGACAAATTTTATTCAAGTAAATATATTCTTTTCATTAAATTGTAGATACTGACAGAAGAATAAAATGTCCTACTCACTCAGGTAAAGTTTAAGGCTATCTCATGCTGAATTATTTGTGTTTTGCGTTTATTCAATTATATTGTAGTTTGTTTACATTTCTGATATATTATATTTTCTGGAGCTTGGTGAAAATTTCCATTTATAAGAGAGAAATGAATAAGACTGTCGGTTTTAATAACCTGAAGTATGAAGTAGATAATACTGTCATTCAAAAATTGGACTGAAATGTTTCTCTTCAAAGAATATTGCCTGACATCGCTTACAGTTTTGTAAAGTACATGTGTAAATAAAGATGTATGGTGTTAATGGTAGTAGGATTCATATAGGTGGGTTTGTGAATTAGGTTTTACTACAATCGTGAACTAGACTTACAATAAATTCATTATCAGTTTTCCAATCTATGATAGCTTAAACAACCTTCCTTCACCCTCAAAATTCAAATATTAACTTTATGCTTATATGAACAACTTGATTAACTCTTATTTTTTGAAAATTCTGTTTTCCCTAACCGTTTTCTTACTATAACAAAATCTCTAATATTCAAGTGTTGGTTTGTAGGGATTTGTTTTATTGGTTACAGGATTTCATCATGAGCTGACATCGGTTAGAGAACCATTGGAAAACCTGGGAGTACTGGACAGCTGTTTCGTCCTAGTTTGGGAATCTTCAGAATTACGCACCTTGATGAAGTGTCCCAAACTAGGACGAAACAGCTGTCCGGTACTCCAAGGTTTTCCAATTGTTCTCTAACCGATGTCAACTCATGATGAAATTCTATAACCAAAAAATCTCTAATGTTCATTGCCATATGATGAATAGACATTGCCATTAATGTAGCCTAATGAAGAACAGTCTGATGTTTGAAGCAGATGGTACTCATTTCGAGGTTTCAATGAAATGCTGCCACTAATTGGGATGCAGGCATATTCAGATAGTGAATTTCAAACAAGAAGTAAGCATCTGTCTTGCATTAAACTCCTGACCACCATATATAAAACAATACTGAGTAAAGCTTATCGAATCAAAGCCATCTTACTCGGTCTTTTCCTGATTCATCTAGAAACTGTAGAAAATGAATGACATTCATGTAAAGGAATGTGCAACTTATGCATATATATATATATATGCACATAAATTATGCATCGACTTTCAGGCTTTCCTTTAAAGAAATGGATATTCCGTGGTACTGAAGACATTTTCCGAGTTATATTTATCGGCAAAATAATTTCCAATTCTTCATTCACCCAAACAAATGATTTCTGTTCTTTTCAAAAAAAATCTCTTTTTAAAGATAATTCAGTATTGGGGATATTGGATGGTTTAAGAGTGAAGTCCATACCGAAAATTTCAGTTCATGCAATCAGCTGGAATAGTCCTCCTAGCAAATTAATTAAATGTCTTAGTCATTATGTAATTGAGCAGAGTGTAGAAAGAGATGGAGTTATACTAATGGAAACCAGCAATGTAACCTGGCATCTTAACAATATCATTCATTATTCATATGAAAATGCCAATTATTCCTATCGCGTACATGGGGTTTACCAAAACGGAATTTCTACAGCTATCAGCCAATGGGTATCGGTTCTAACACCGTCAGCTCGATCAAAAAGTAAATTTTATTATCATTGTTATCATTATGAACCGTGATTTTATTAAAAATGAGCCTGCTTAAATTATTCAGATACTGGAAAATGCACAACAAAATATCGATACATTTCTATAAGTCGTTGTCATTTCACCACATGCTTTGTAGACTGATTCTTTTTTCTTGAGGAATAAGCTAATCAAATACTCTTTTGCATTAGACTTTAAAATGTGCATAAAATGCTGCATTAAAATGACGTTTTCTAGGAATGAAAATTATTTTTATAGCTTTCCTGTGATGTTATTTCAATTATATTGGAATTAACATGACACAGTTTATTACCAGAGTAGCAATTTATGCACTACTTGCTGATAAATACGAAACACTGGGCGTCGGTGGCACAGTGGTTAGGACTCTCGCCGACCATGTACATGGTCCAGGGTTCGATCCCCTACCGATGCACACCCGAAATCTATGGTCGGCCTGTAAAATTTAGGCTATCGATATCCATGCTGAAAATTCTACACTTGTACTGAAAAATACGGTGTGGCATCAAGCTGTAATCAAAAAAAGTAATAAAAATAAAAAATATTAAAAAAAACTATTAGTAGAATTGTATACCTACAAGAAGTTGGACTTGTGAATCATCATAAGATTAGCACAATGTCTTCTTTGTTAGAAGTCTGAGTAGTAATAATGATAACAGGATTGTTACCAGTGACATTATAAAATCGAATTGTTTTTCCGTTCCTTTGAGTTCCGAGCGCAACATAGAGCTTCATGCTTGAACATTCAAGTTTCAGAAGCAGTGGTTTTGTAAAATATTTTTTACGAGGTGAGGTTACTTACCTCACAGACAATCTTCCACCAGATAAGTAAGGCTTAAGAGTGCATCGTAGAGATGTAATTTATCACAGTGTAGTCTGTATTACTCAGTAATAGGTGAATAGGTTATTGATTTTAGGAACAAAACTGAACTGTATATATTCGAAGCAAACAGATTGGAAGAACTTGAATTCCGAATGACAGATATAAATGCTAACTAATTCTTATTATCAATAAGTCTTTTGAAATAAAATTTGGTCATGAGGCGATAGCTGTCCAAATACAAAGACGAAAAGCAGTATTCAAAAAGATTACGACTCATATATAGCAGGAATTTATCCATTTCAATTTCAAAAGTTGATGTTAGTATGACGGAAGCCGACGGAAGATTGGCAATTATAAAATACATCTTAATGGCATGCTATTTCTAATCGGCAAAACTGCTGATTACTACAAAATAATAAAAGTAGATAGATACCTGCTTTATTCTATTCTTAAATAACTGAATCAATTCAATGCATGTGAGTATTATAGCAAGTTCATTGACAGAAAAGATTAAAAGGTGATGAATAAATCCAGCCATATGTATTATGAAGTTCCGTAAATTGATATGAACACGAATTCTGACTGAATCATGGTAAGATGACCTAACATAAACTCAGTGTGTTTAAAGCATTTCTCTGTAAAAGTCAGAGCTGTTTTCGAATAATAACTTGGATTTTAGCTGCATCCACCTAAAAGACATTTATCTTATAAGTTTTTAACTTGTTGACTTTCGGTAGCAAAAGTGAAAGTAGAAATCTCCACTTTGAATATTGTTATCTGAAAAGAACACTTTAAACTTGATATCAATATATTAAAGTAGAAAAAAGTGTTATTTTCTTATTTTATGCATTCAGAATTTTTTTTAAAAATTTATGTATAAACCCTTATTTTGACATAAAAGTTGTAGGACTGTACTTCCATTATAGGTAAATTTTGTTTTGATAAAGTCTCACAGTGTTATACAGTAATGTTTACTGACGACGTTTCGAGCACAATTTATTGCTCATAATCATATCAAGGTAATCAAACGACTTCCTAAATTCATTTATATAGTTCCGTTGTTTTTCACTTGATTTGATTGGTAGTAATATTTTCCATATTTCGGGTGTGAGTGATGAATCATTCCTATTGCATGTGTTGGATGTAGATTCGATGAACAAGGATTCAGTAATCAACCTCTCTCTCCACCTACCTAGATTACTTTTTAGAATTTTAACCCTATCCCACCATATTGTGTGGTTGTGTGCTAATGCACGCATTATTATTAATTTATTATTGTTCCCTTGGGTTCCTAGTGGAACATAGGGCTTCAACTGCACGTCTCCACTCGCTTCTGTCTTCTACTGTACTTATCATCTGCATCCATCTTAGTCCATACTGCTTCAACTCCTCTTCACACGATCTCCTCCATGTCACCCTTGGACGTCCCACTCGCCACTTCCCTTTCGGGTTCCACTCGAGCTATGGCCTGACGCGCGATGTCACCCAGCGGCCTCCTCAGCAAGTGTCCAATCCGTCTCCACTTTCTCCTGCATATTTGTTGACCGATTGGTTCTTGTTTTGTTTGTTCCCGTAGTTTCTTGTTGGTGATTCTTTCCGGTCATCTGATCTTGAGTATAGAACGAAGACAGCTGTTGATAAAGGTCTGCAACCTGTTGGAAATATTCTTTGTGACTCGCCAAGTTTCTGATCCGTACAGAAGAACTGACTTGACGTTTGTATTGAAAATCCGAATACGAATTTAGCTAAGGTAAGAATGGTTGACCCAGAGAAGATAAGTAATTTAGAAAAAAGCTCAGCAATTGCAATGCATGCATTAACACACAACCACACAATAGGGTGGGATAGGGTTAAAATTCTAAAAAGTAATCTAGGTAGGTGGAGAGAGAGGTTGATTACTGAATCCTTGTTCATCGAATCTACATCCAACACATGCAATAGGAATGATTCATCACTCACACCCGAAATATGGAAAATATTACTACCAATCAAATCAAGTGAAAAACAACGGAACTATATAAATGAATTTAGGAAGTCGTTTGATTACCTTGATATGATTATGAGCAATAAATTGTGCTCGAAACGTCGTCAGTAAACATTACTGTATAACACTGTGAGACTTTATCAAAACAAAATTTACCCATAACGGAATTACACTCTACCACAGTGCACAATTTTTATTCTTATATCAATGGTAGGACTGTATTTGAATTTCGTTCAATTTATATTTATTTCACTAATTTAGTATGCCCATGTGAATTTCAAAATGACGCAGATAGAAAATGGGAAATAACAAGTTAGTTTGACTGATTTTACTTGAATGTAGTTCACATTTACTTTGAATAACAGAATAACGAAATAACAATATTCTAGCCTCTTAACTCCTTTTTTTATGTCATGAGATTTAGTATAGAGGCGAAAGCCTAAGATAAATAAACCTTAAAACAACAAGTAGACATGGAGTTATTTGTTTTCCCTGTAAGCAGCTGACGAGAAGGCAACGAAATAAAAGATGATACCATTTTATTCTGCTAAAACTGTAGTTCTTGCTTTGTTCAAATTCATTAAGGGGAATAAATGTATGAAATTCAACAAATAAGTGACTTGGTGCAACAAATTATTTTTCTGCTTTGTTTTGTGTCCCATTTAAGATTTATTAATCGTTTAATTGGTCTGAATTATCTTACGACTATGAACTAGGCAGCATTACGTGTCACTCTGAAAGGCAAGCTGAGGAAGACTGACCAACTTATGGTATCATTTGAATTCTAACCGGTACCATGAAAATACAAGTGATATAAATAAGTAGACAATCATAAAATAATGACATATGGGTGAAATAGCTAATTGTCAAAGTTTCTGACTGCACATCTAGTCAAAGTTGATTTGTACATCCCAGAAGGCATTAATTCCATTAAAATTGAAAATACGTCTTACCAATGTGTCGCAACAAATATAAAGACCAAGTTTCAGCATTCACTTCCAGTTTTCAGTAATCGTCCAACTTCATATTGTGATAACCACTGACAAGAGAGGTCAGGGTGTTATTTATTTCGTGACGTTTATCCGTGGGTCTAAGAAGACCGTTTCATTCCATTTGAGACTCATCAGCGGGGTGTACCTGCACCCCTATGCGTGATGATGTTTTTGCAGAGATCCAAACCCAACTCATGGTTCGAGGCGTTGAAGCCACAGGTCAAAGGTGTTTGATGGGTTTATCATAAACAGTATGGAGATTTTTGCTTGAGTATGCATTTAATCGAGTACCACTATTTTTGCAGACATTGAATGACAAAAGAGAATATTGATTTCAAAGGATATCCTTCAAGCATTATGAGTTTAAAAATCTGTAATAGCTTACTGTCACCTTACAGTTTCTCTTACATTAATGAATTCATGGGATTTATCGACTTAGTAAACACCTCCTCTTTAACCTCCGGATATCTTTACTTTAAATCACTATTGTACTTATACGTCTTAGCCAGAATGTGCCTCATGTAAATGCTAATTCATTTTTTGTATGTGAGGACTTAATTTATGCCAGGGCAGAGTTTTGTCTAATTAGAAAATTGGAGTAAGATTAAGGACGGAAAATTTGTATTCTTCAGGAGGACACAATTATAAATCACAAAGATTCAGTCTGATGATTATGAGGTATTGCGCTTATATCCTTTAAATTCACTAACTTCATTGATAGGTGTAATACTTCTCACACAATTTTTCTTGTCTCCATCTTTAGTATCCCTGGTTCATAAAAGTGTGAATCCTACCTTATATAAGCCAAAGCAGTACATTCTTAGAAGTTTGACAGAAGCGGATATGAAAAACAAGACATTTCAATTATTCGTCCGTAATCGATCTGTTGTTATGCATGAAGTGTAGGTCAGTCAGTGAGTACTCATTTTCGTTTACATTTTCTCCATCCTTTTGGAAATTTTCGGTGAAACATGATTATCACCAACACTTCCTCTTAAATTTATGAATTAGACACTTAAAATACCTGTTTATTACTAACTCACTGAAGATCAGATGGCCGGAAAGAATCACCAACAAGAAACTACGGGAACAAACAAAACAAGAACCAATCGGTCAACAAATATGCAGGAGAAAGTGGAGACGGATTGGACACTCGCTGAGGAGGCCGCTGGGTGACATCGCGCGTCAGGCCATAGCTCGAGTGGAACCCGAAAGGGAAGTGGCGAGTGGGACGTCCAAGGGTGACATGGAGGAGATCGTGTGAAGAGGAGTTGAAGCAGTATGGACTAAGATGGATGCAGATGATAAGTACAGTAGAAGACAGAAGCGAGTGGAGACGTGCAGTTGAAGCCCTATGTTCCACTAGGAACCCAAGGGAACAATTATAATAATATACTAACTTAAAATGAATTTAGCTAAACATCTTGATAGAATACGCATAATAATACGTAATTTTTACTGAATAAACACCACTTCAAGCATATTCTGAAATAAATGCGTTCCACGAATACCTTCAAAATCAAAATCAGGTGGATAGAGTCAAGTATCAATATAAAAAGTAATGCGGTAAATTATGATAAAAATCTTTTTTCGATCAATATTTATATTCTGATGCTGGACAACTGTTCACCTAAAAGCATCGCTATTTCTGATTTTGGATTCGTAAAGATTTCATTTATTTCGTTGTAGATTATGCCATGAATTGACACCAGGTAGACAGTTGTCAGCAAAAAGGAGCTCTGGATAGCCGTTTTGTTAAGAATCTTGCTTATTTCTAAGTGGCTTAAAGATGGGCTTCTTGTATGAAGTAGTGACTGGCGGGGTTTGTCTTGCCATGTGTGCAGCAGACACTCATTAATAACACTAATTGGAGCTATATAGTGTTTGATAGAGTTTAGAGCTTATGGCTGATTGGAATTCAATTTCAAAGTGCTCACGTAGTAACCTGATTGTCCATGACCCCACAATGTGTATTTCCAGAAAGGATGAATATTTATCCATAGAAAATTCTGAAAGCATACGTCACATTAAAGTTATCGTTGAAGACGTTGGGATAGATAATGAAAGGTTTGCAGTTGAGTCAATCATTCAGTTAGCTGACACACACACGCCCAAAGCAAAACAATTCATTGTTATTTTCCACGTACATGTTCCTCATTGTATTGTAGCAGTGCATGATACTTGGGTCTTGCTGATACGCATGACTAGTACCTGAATATTAGGTAGAGATTAATTTTATTGAATGCTGAAGAATAAATTATTTTAAAATAGCGTTATTTCACTGTATAACCTGCTTCACTTTTCTGCTTATCATATAAATTGTAATGAAGTTAATAGGTAATTTTAAGAGAATAGTTTGTGGTATACTGCTGCCATAATTCAATACCCCCTCCAAATATCTCTTCTCACAACCGACTGGGGGAATTCTTCCGGTCACAAATCCTCTATATTGCTAATTGACAGAAGTCTGATTTCAAGGATCACCGGATTCTTACTTGTTGACTGAATGGTTAGCGAGTTCGCCTCGTTACCTCAACTTCCTAGGTCTGATCCATAGTGCAGTCGTGAATGCACACAGTTGACGATCCAATAGTAAACTTAAAAAATTAAACACATGGGAACACAACAAATAGACGAGTTAAGAATAATTGACTAACGCGTGAAGAAACAAAAATTAAAATGTTAAATAGAATCTTATTGAGTAACAAAGGTTTCAGATTTTCAGTGATATTTTTTTCGCATTTCTATTAGTGGTCACTTAAATATTCAGCAAAATATTGATTTTAAGTGAATAATCATTTAAATTAATAATCCCCATTGAGACACGAGAGAGTCAGTGATCTACTCCAGTCTACCAGAAGACAACCACATGCACACGGAGAGTGTGGCTACCATGATGTCACCACCGGTAACGAAGGCCCTCATTCAATGGAAGGCGATCTCGCCCAGGATAATGATCGCCAGAGTCAACTCAAAAGGAAGGAAAGTGACAGTTATATAATGCTATGCAGCTACCCAATCCAATACTATGACTCAAACAAACTCACAAAATATCATGCCGGATCGGTCGGGGCGCGGATTAACAACGACCGCGCTTCCTGCTGCTGTGTCACAGGGCAGAAGTGATGAATATGCTACTGAGACACACGAAACAAGAGAGAACAACCAAAAACAGGCCGCGTGTGACCGGCCTCAAGCAGTTGTCCCCTGGGCTCTGCGGTCACGCAACACTAACCTTTTATCTCTCCCCTTCTCAGGCATGAGGCTAGCAACCCCACCCTGTAAACAAACCTGCTACAGAAACTTCAGCACGGCGAATCTCCTTTCGCCAAAAGAAAAGTTTGTGTGGGGACATGGAATGTCCGTACCATGTACGAGATTGGCAAAGCTGCCCAGATCGCAAACGAAATGAAAAGATACAGAATTCAAGTACTGGGAATATGTGAAACCAGATGGAACGGGAGTGGACTCACCAAATTGTCAACGGGTGAGTCAGTGATCTACTCCGGTCACCCAGAAGATAACCACTCGCACACCGAGGGCATGGCTATCATGATGTCACCAACGGCAACGAAGGCCCTGATGCAATGGGCAATGCAATAATGCTATGCACCCACAAACAACGCAGACCTAGAAAAGAAAGAAGAGTTCTATAGGCAACAATGGACAATATTACAGTCGGTGAAATTAAAATTCTAGTGGGAGAAATGAACGGCAAACTGGGACAGAGTAAAAGAATTCATCATGGGTAGAGAATCTCTCGGCGAAATGAATGAAAATGGAGAACTCTTCGCCGACTTCTGCGCTTTCAATGAACTAGTGATTGGTGACAGCGTATACAAACACAAGGACATCCACAAAGCTACATGTGTGACACCAGATGGGCGAACCAAAAACCAAATTGACTTAATCTCAATCTCAAGGAAGTGGAGGCGCAGCCTGCTGGACACAAAAGTAAGAAGAGGAGCAGACGTCGACTTAGACCACTGTCTCGTACAATGGACAATCCAAATCAAATTAAAAGCTTTCAAAGAAACGAGCTGCAGATAGACCACAAGCCAAGTTCAACACTCAAAAACCGAAGGACTAGGACACAAAGGACATCTTCACTGCAAGCATAAAGGACAAAGCCGAGACACAAATCAACACCAGCGAAGAGGTCAGCGTCGAAAAGCACTGGGACAACTTGAAAACAATATGGAGTCAAACCTGCATGGAAGTTCTAGGCAGAAAGAAGAGACAGGACAAACAATGGCTCAATACGGACACTTGGAGACTGATAGACGAGAGAGAGGGATGGTGAAACAAAAGGTTCTCCAGTGCACCGATGAGCAACAAAAACAGGATTTGAATGCAAGCTACAAGACACTGAACAAAAGAGTAAAGAAGAGTGCCAGAGAAGACAAAAGAAAGTATTATGAAACCATGGCAAGTGAAGCAGAACAAGCTGCAGGCAAAGGAGACGTCGCAACACTCTACCAAACAACTGGGTACCTATCGGGCAAAAGTTTGACACAAATTAAGCCAGTGGAGAATGACAATGGAAAGTCACTCAACAAACAACTGGAGCAAAGGAAACACTGGGCTGAACACTTCAAAAGACTCCTAAATCGACCACCACCTACAACGCGCCCAACAATACCAACATCGGAGACAGAGCTACCAGTGAACAGCAAACCCCCCGACGAAATCAGAAGTCCTGAAGGCACTAAAGATGCTGAAAGCCGGAAAAGCAGCGGGACCAGATGGAATCCCAGCAGAAGCATTGAAAATGGACCCAGAGGCAACAGCGGACTTGATGACGCCACTACTGGAGAAGGTGTGGAAAGAAGGCAAAGTACTCGAGGATTGGAAGAAAGGATACTTATTCAAACTACCAAAGAAAGGAGACTTAAGTCAATGCAAGAACTGGCGCGGAATTATGCCCCTGTCCATCCCAAGCAAAATACTAAGCCGCATCATCCTGGAGAGAATCAAACATGCCCTGGATGAAACATTTCGACCGGGACAGGCTGGATTCAGGATAAACAAGTCATGCATTGATCAGATCGCCACATTACGGATCATCATTGAACACAGCTTGGAATGGCAGTCACCTCTCTATCTCAACTTCATCGACTTTGAAAAGGCCTTTGACAGCGTCGATCGAGAGGTGATTTGGAAACTACTTGGCTACTATGGGGTGCCATCGACAATTATACATCTCATCCAACAGCTGTACGACAAGGCTGCATAATAAGTAATCCACAACGGGAAACTTACGGAATGCTTCGAGGTGAAGACAGGAGTAGGACAAGCTGGTTGAATGCCTACAATCTTCAGTGGTTTTCAGGATTGTGGTAGACTGGATGATGCGATAGACAGTGGCGGGCAGAGAGGAAACAGGCATAAAATGGGCTAATACAAAAACTTGGGGGATCTGGACTTCGCCGATGATATACATTTGAGGACCACAAACTGGAAGATATGCAAGCCAAAAGCAACAAGTTAGCAGAAGAAGCATCAAAGATAGGACTTCAGGTGAACATAGATAAAACAGAGGTGATGAAGATTCCTGGGCAAGAACAACAACAACAGACAACGATCAGCATAAATGGGAGAAATTTGAAAGAAGCAACCTTCTTTACCTATCTACCTGAGAAGCATCGTTTCAACTACAGACGGACGGAACTGACGAGGATATCAAGGCGAGGATCGGGAAAGCAAAGCGAACTTTCATTACCCTCAAGTCTGTGTGAAGGTCGACAGTATATATATATATATATGTACATATATATATATATGTATATAGTGTGCAGCTATGAAAATGAAATCGTCGAAAAGAGAATTTTCTTCACTGAATAATTATTTGTGTTTTTCTAGTTTTCATTTTTCGAATCACTTTTTAGGTGGTCATTACAATCATC